AACAAAAACAAACAAACAAATAAAGCAGTGCCCGTCATGTAGGATTGAGTGACTGAGTGAGGACGGCCTTGCACAGAGTGGACACTCACTAATCACCAGGTTTTCACCAGGTTTTCCTGTCAGTGATCACCAGCCGTGATCCAGGTAAAGCCCTGAGGGCTCAGAAAGATGCCGGAGAGCTTTCGAGGTGCTGGGAATTGGTGGGCAAGCCCTTGAACAAAAAAACCGGTTCTCTGTGTTACAACAGAAAGCAGGAGACCCGTGCTGGGCGCTGCCAGGACTAAGACAGCACCTAGGTGCTCTGGGGAAGTACCTAGGCCAGTGCGGAGACAGACTCACCACACAGTGACAACCCAGAGTGGTCAGGCGAAGATGGGGAAGCAGAGGGAGAAAGGTCGAGGTGGGATAGGGAGGGATCAGGGCAAGAGGGGTCAGGGCCAGGACGAGGGAAGCCCTGGGACCTTAGGGATCTGGAGGAGGTGCCTGACCCAGCCTGTTTGGTGAGGGAGATTCAGGAAGTCTTCCTGGAAGAGAGGCTGTCGGAGCTGAGACTCGTAAGATGAGTGGGAAACGTGTTCCAGGCAGAAGAACCAACGCCTGCAAAGGCGTGACTTTGAGAGAAGCATTCATCCGTTCAACTGATGAATGAAGCTGGGCACGGTGGCTCACACCTGTAACCCCAGCACTTTGAGGGGCTGAATCAGGAGGATGACTTGATCCTAGGAGTTTGAGACAAGCCTGGGCAACATACCCTGCCTCCACAAAAAAATTTTAAAAAAACGATCTTATGCCTGGTCCTGTACTGAGTACCAGGTACACAGAGTTGACAGACGTGGTGTCCTCTCCTACTGTGGGAGAGGCGGGCTTGTACTGCAGCAAGACAATAGAGGGAGGAAATAGAATCCTAAAGTGAGAGGCACCTGTCCGAGGGTAAAGAGAGAATCAGGGAAGGCTTCTCAGAGGAGGTGACATTTGAGCTGGGATGTGAAGGATGAATGAGTTAGTTCACCAAGAATGGGATGGAAGGGGGTGAGAGTGATGCAGACAGAGGAAACTGCGGGATCATAGGCCTAGACAGGGGATCGTAACCCCTTTAAGGAAGTAAGAGAAGAACGGCGCAGTCTTAGTGGGTTAAGTAACAAAGCTGAGAAGCCAGGGAAATCCCTAGTCACGCAGGGCCTGTGAGTCACGCCAGAGTGTTTGGGCTTTTGACTTTCTTGGGAACAGTTGATTTAAAGCAGGAAAGAGCTGTAGTCGGAGTTGGGAGGATCCTGTGGTGCTGGAGACTGGGAGTCCAGGGTGGGGACCAGGCTGGACCAGGGCTGGGGCCAGGGGATAGGGAGGAAGGGGTGACTGGGAGAGGCTGGGGGCTCTGGCCAGGGAATGGATGGTGGGTTGAAACAGGGAGAGCAGAGATACTGAGGCCAGTTTGGAACACAGTGTGGCAAGGGCAGGAGATGCCCAAGGGGCAGTGCCCGAGAGGCCATGACAGGCTGGCATTGGACAGGGAGGGTCTGTCTGGACCAGGTGTCTTGGATAAAGAAGGAAAACAGTGCAGTTCCATACTCCTCCCTTCCTCCTCCCTCTCTATTCAACCTCCAAACTACATGGGTCAGAGGACCCAGTGGGACTCCATAAATGATGGGATGAGTGGATGGAAGGAAAGAAGAAAGAAAGAACTCTTGGCCGGGTGCGGTGGCTCAAGCCTGTAATCCCAGCACTGTGGGAGGCCGAGGCGGGTGGATCACGAGGTCAAGAGATCGAGACCATCCTGGTCAACATGGTGAAACCCCATCTCTACTAAA